TTTTTTTTTTTTGGCGGGGGGGGGGGGATGGGGGGCAATTTAGACATGTAAACGTATAGTAGGCCAACTTCGACAAACTAACCTTCATCTGTCACAAACCACGAACATCATTATCTGCCATGCGGTTTATATGCTGTTTTACGCGGTTAGAAAGCAATCTTCCCAAATCAGCACTTAACGGAGAAGCTGTGGGACGTGAGTCCATATTAACACAATAGCCACTGCAGCTCACCACGTTTCACTGTCTGTTTTCACAGTGTTTCTGTCATATAAATTATTTTTTTTAAAAAAAATCTTGAATGAAAATGTGACAGAAATGAATATATGAAGTTTTTTTTTTCGTAACGCTTTGGCTCGCGTGTTTTTTGTTATAAATAGTATAGCATAGGTTTTAAGCAAACAGCTGTGTATAGTGATTTATGCACGTAGTCCTCGCGTACATTTGTCTGTGCGTGAAATCACCAATCCAGGAAGTCTTATTGCGAGTGACAAATCACCAAATCTTCTCCTCGTTTTTTTTAATTTCCTGGCACACGACTTCTCAAGCCCAATACCTCCATCACGACCACAAATTTACACGTACAACTCTACAAACTGACATACGGATTGTAATTCTGGATATTATATAGCTTAGGAACCGAAAAAATGAACACTTGTTTCTGCTTCTTCGGTGACTCCTAAAACTTATTGATAAGACACCCTAACTACGAGCATATGTACCGGAAGGGATCGGATATCAGGGAGTTTCTCATAGCACTGCCTTGGTTGTTCGAGCGCTGTATTTGCCAATTGCGCCTAGATGAAACATGTCATACCATTAAAGGTCTTTTTAGATAAAGCGTGTTCCTTACACTAGCAGCTTTAGAAATGTGTAGTTTAGAGTCGAGTTCAGTGTAATCCAGTAGTCCTATTTTTCTTGTCTTTTTCAATCGGTTAGGTAAGGATGATAGATAGCTCATGTTTCAAAATTCCATTTCTTAGACGGCATTGCAAGCGAGAGTAGGAAATTGGAGGATGAATCGTGAGGTGCCAAAAGTTATTTGTAGAAACCAAATGAATCAGGCAAATGAATTTATGTACACGGCGATTATTCCCATAAGCTTATCACGAATAAAGATGCGTAGATTATCTGTCACTGTATAGAAGACAAGTGGCATACTGACATTAGCACTTGGTGGACTGCTGATTTTACTACTCGATGAATTTACGAGCACCACGAGTATTTCCACTTTTCTCTCTCTCTCTCTCCTCAAGGATCAGATATTGACAAAGATACCCATTCCACGTTCGTATTTTCATTTTATCTAATTTTCAGTCCTACTCTTCATCACAATGGTTAATAGTATAACAGGATGTGACATGATATAATAAAAAACTATCTAACTTAAAAGTGACTCTAAAACTCAGATGCATATTTCTAGAATTTGCCTAAGTCATCTAATTAAAGCGATAACACTTTGATGTTTGATTTATATAGCAAAATTCTAATTCTAAAAGTAAATCTTAAGTAATTTCCTGAACAGTCATTAAAATAGTGAAAACGTTAAGTTCTGACAAAGCACCAAATTTTATTATAAAATTTCATTATTTCATGCATAAAGGGTGCGCTTTCATGCAATCTGAAGCTGTCATTAAATCTTTACAACATAGCCCACGTGCAGGACCAAATTTTGCGGGAAAATCAGAGCTAGACACTAACTTTTATGAGCACCTGTCCGAATTTCAATCCAACCTGTCCAACAAAACCAAATTTTTTTTCTATTGATACCACAGCCTTACCCATTCACCCTATCTGAACTCGTCCGTAGGGAACCGCAAAAACGAACCTTTACAGACTTACAGACAAAATCACGTTGCTCAGTATCTTACCGGTATATGTATGCCCCCGAAGTGTCAAAATCATGCGGGATCCCCCCCGGAATTAAAATCTCACTTCTGTAACCTGTTTTTATGGAAATTAAATAGTGGTTTTTGAATGAGTTAATTTAATTGTGTAATTTAAACCACTCGTTCTGGACTGCGGTTGTTGAAAGCTAGGTAGGAGCAACGTTACGAAGCGACCCAGGGGGGGGGGGGGTAATGGAGATCAACATTCGGTCATTTATTTCAAATTACCCCTGCTAAAATACTGCTGAAAAAACC